TATATATATATATATATATATATCCTTATTTTACATATCACATCTATATACTACAATAGCTAGTTCAATATATTATAGAATTAAGAATGAGAAGAATCCTCTTAATTAATATGGTTTCCATAAAAACCTAAAGATTCCTAACTCCTAAGCCCCTCTTGTCCATAGTGACTTTGTCAAAATAAGGAGAGAGTCATACTTGGAGTTGTCTTTGTACTAATGTAATTCTCTAGAAGACCTAGTGATTCATTTTGTTAGATAAATAGGAAGTAAGAAACAGTAAATTAGGCATTGATTAGGATAAAATTACCAGCATGAGAGTTTAAGCTAGATTGTCATTCTTTTTAGTCACAATCTTAAATTGTTAGTTCTATGAAATTTTCTCATATGATATGCAAACTTAGATACTTAAAAGGACCAAAAACTCTAGTTCATGCTGAGCAAACGACAAATCTAATATTTAGTAATGTGATTATTGTTGAATCTCATGTTTTGATGATAAAACCAATTGATAAATATTTATGATTTGATCTACGTTTTTAATGACGCAAGATGCTTCGATCAAGATGAGACAATTAAAGCAGGAAGAATCATGTTGGGTCGGTAGAACATGTTAGAAGATTAGATGTCGGACCGAAGAATCGGTCGACATATCGACAGAAGGCTTCGGGCCATGGATTTGGGCATTTAGACAAGAAGAGCAGATATTGAGCCAAGGATATCGGAGTTGCGGAGTCAACTGTGTTAGAAAATAAATAGATAAACAAGTTGTAGAAGAAGTTGATTATTATTAACATATCCCCCTTCCTTTTATACAGGTTAGGAGGGAGAATTTTCCTCAACAGGTTAGAGGATTTCCCTTAACAGAGTAGAGAGATTTCCTCAAACAGTCAGGAAAATCTCATCTACTTATCATGCCCCCGCAAGATGGTACTTCGATCAAGGAGGCCAATCTTGGACAGATGTAACGCAAAAAGTTTACGAGCTAGAGGCTTCGTAAATGAGTCGGCCAATTGATCAGCCGTATGAACATGAGAAACACGAAGTTGACGGCAGACAACTTGATCGCGTACAAAGTGGAAGTCGATGACAATATGTTTCATGCGGGAGTGGAATACCGGATTAGCGCACAGAAAGGTAGCTCCAATATTATCACAATATATTATAGGGGTGGAATCGATGTTGAGTTCCTGGAGTAGATTCGTGATCCAATTGAGTTCTGCAGTGGTAGCGGCAATGGCACGGTATTCAGCTTCAGTTGTAGACCGGGCGACTGTCTTTTACTTCTTAGAACTCCAACTGATTGGATAAGCACCAAGAAAGATAATATACCCCGATGTGGATGTTCTATCATCAAGGTTACCTGCCCAATCAACATCGACAAAGGCATGAAGACGAAGTGGAGAGTGTTTACGAAAAAAGAGACCATGATTTAGGGTCCCTTTAAGATATCGTAGAAGTCTCTTGATCGCTGACCAGTGTAGAGTAGATGGTTGCTGCATAAACTGTGATAATTTATTGACAGCAAATGAGATGTCTGGACGCGTGAGAGCTAAGTATTGTAAAGAGCCAACAACTTGGCGGTATTGAGTGGGTTCCGTAGCAGGACTTCCATCCGATAATTTGAGAGAACCACTAGTAGAGATGGGGGTTGTAACTGCATTTGCATCCTGCATGTTTGTCTTTAATAACAAATCTTGAATGTACTTGCATTGTGATAAAAGGAAACCGGAAGACGTGAAGGTAGCTTCGACGCCTAGAAAGTAGCTCAAGGGTCCGAGATCCTTAAGCGAGAATCGAGCTGCCAGCTGTTTGATGAACGCTTGGATGCTGATGGGATTGTTGCCTGTGATAATAATATCATCCACATATACCAGAATATACATTGTGTTTCCATAATAATGTCGCAGAAACAACGAAGTGTCAGATTTGGAGTTAAGAAAGCCGACAGAAGTCAAAAATGAGCTAAGTTCAGTGTACCAAGCTCTCGGAGCCTAATGAAGTCCATAAATGGATTTCCGAAGTTTGCAAACATGCTGTGGATACTGAGGATGAGTAAAACCGGGGGGTTGTTGCATAAAAACATCTTCAGATAGAGATCCCTGTAGAAAGGCATTATTAACATCCAATTGTCGTAATTGCCAACCTTTAGTGGTAGCCAGACTCAAGATAAGCCGGATTGTAGTGGGTTTAACAACAGGACTAAAAGTCTCAGTGAAATCAACTCCAGGTCGTTGATGAAACCCTTTGGCGACCATGCGTGCCTTATATCGGGCAACAGAGCCATCTGGGTTCCGCTTAATTCTAAAGACCCACTTACACCCGATAATGTTTTGTGAAGGATGGAAAGGAATGAGATCCCACGTTGAATTATGGAGGAGGGCGTTATATTCCTCACTCGTGGCAGTACGCCAATGCGGAGATTTTTGGGCTTGAGTGAAGGTGGTGGGTTCAATGTTGGGGGATGAGGAATTCATGACAGCTTGTAGGTTAAGTACTTGACGAGGTTTAAAAATACCATGCTTAGAGCGAGTGGTCATAGGATGATTGGAGACGACAGGATTGGGAGGAGATGTCGGGTGAGGATCTGTGGTACAAGCCGGGTCAAGGGGAGACACGTCAGGGGCACTTGAGCGAGGAGGTAAAGAGGATGATTGTGTTTCGGAACATATTGCCCCATCAATTGGGGAAGAGTGGAGTGGAGTAGGAACAGAGGAAACAGGCAAGTGTTGAACTGGAGTGATATAGTGCGGATCAGGAGGGGAGGAAGTAGACGGAGGCATGGGAGGCTCGTCCGATTGGTCCGAAGGTATACTCCAGTGAGATAGTGAAGTGGTCCGTATGGCAGGATATGGAAGGGTTTGGAAAGGAAAGTTAGACTCAACAAAGACAACGTGACGTGATATGAAGATTTTGTGAGTATGGAGATTATAGCAGCGGAAAGCATTATGTTCAAGTGAGTAACCAATAAAGACGCAAGGAGTAGATCGAGATGTTAACTTATGAGAGGCATAGGGACGTAACCAAGGATAACATAAACAACCGAACACTCGGAGTTTACGAAGGTTAGGGGGTTTGTAAAATAGTGTGTCAAAGGGGAACTGGTATTGTAGAATTGGTGTAGGCATTCGATTAATTAGGTAGACAGCAGTTTGAAAGGCTGCTATCCAAAAAGTTGAAGGCATGGAAGCCTGATGTAGAAGTGTGAGTCCAGTTTCTACTATATGCCGATGTTTGCGTTCGGCAGAACCAACTAGTTGAGGAGTATGTGGGGGAGACTTGAGGTGTTGAATGCCACAAGCTGAGAGATGGGATGCCAGAGCTTGATATTCACCGCCACCATCAGAGTAGACTGTTTTAATGGTAGACTGAAAATAGTTTTCGACCAACTTCTGAAAAGTGGAAAAAATGCGAGAAACATCAGATTTATGAGAAAGAGGATATATCCATGTGTACTTAGAGAAGTGATCTACAAAAATAACATAAAATCGAAACTTATCAAAAGATAAGATTGGAGCAAGACCCCAAACATCAGTATATATAATTTCAAAAGGTTTAGAGGAGGAAATGGAAGATGAGCTAAAAGGCTGCCGATGACTCTTATTACTAAGACAAGCATCACAATGCATCATAGAATTAGTAGACTTAAAAAGAGGAAGAGAGTGATGAGATAATAATTTCTGCTGAATAAAGGACGAGAGATGACCAAGCCGACGATGCCACACATCAACTGGAGCCGCAACAAAAGAATGAACAGTGGGCTGGGTTATTCGAGAGGCTGACGGCCATTCGTAAATGTTGTCTTTATTCGGGCCTTGGACCAATGATGCCCCCGTGCTTAAGTCCTTAACAAGAAATGAATCAGGAAAGAATTCAATGGAAGTATTGTTATGTTTGCAAAACTGAGAAACAGAAATGAGGTTGCGTTTAATATGAGGGGCGCATAAAACATCATCGAGGGTAAATGTATTAGAGTCAGAATTAAGCATTGTGGAACCAGTATGAGTTATAGGAAGTCCTTTACCATCACCGATGATGATATCTTCAGCGCCGCCATAGGGATTATGAAGAGACAAATTCTGAAGATCAGCGGTGATGTGATGAGAGGCACCAGAGTCGATAATCCAGTTGGACTGGCTAGGTGTCGGAGAAGTTAGGAGATTTGCCTGAGGCCAGTGTGACGGAGCAGGGAGGCGGGGACGAGACCGGCAAACTTTAGCGGAGTGGCCGACTTTGTCACACAGTTGGCAAACGACCCGTCTTTGATGGCTCGGTAGGGTAGGACGCCAAGACGGATGATGGCTAGAGTTACCACTTTGCGAGAAGTGATGACTAGGAGGATAGGAGGGGTGTTGCATGGAACTCACAGAATCAAGAGGCGCATTAGCCAAACCTTGGGTGATGTTCGGCGAGTACCGAGTGCTCTTTCGTTTAGACTTATGACTGACTTGAGCTGTGACAGTTGATCCAGGCAGTTTGTTCGCACGCTTCAAGTACATCTCGTAGTCAGTCAGTTTATCATAGAGATCTTCAAAAGAGACTGGTGAGTCACGTGCCCGAATTGCAGCAGCCAATTCCTTGTAGTCGGTGTCGA